CCGCCTTATGGCGAAAATCTCTCGTGTTCTTTACCATTTTTTAGTTTCTTGCACATTTATTTTGTTATTATATGTTTTAGTTGGCTAATTAGTGGCTTTTGATCTCTGCACAGGTAATTGATTGTTCTGTCTACAAGATTTTGTATGAGTTCATATTGCTTGATTTCTCGTGTTAATATTTATTTATTTATTTCTTATGCATTAGTCAGCTTATTCATAAAAATTGGGAGCCTCACCAATATTTCAAAGTAGAGGAAAATGTATTAGATGTACAGTACTAAAGAAACGGCCTCAGAAACACAACTGATATGACCAATTCTTCCAAATGTCAACTCCCCATCCCTTGCTTAACAACATACTTCATATCTATTATTTAAAGAATCACATTTACCTGACCCATGCTTGAAGAAAGAATCCAAACTTGAAGGTGTGAAATCACGGGTGTTGAAAGTATTCTTACTTATTTTGTAAAATTCAAGTTATAATCAGATTATGATTTGTATATAAGGTAAATTACATGATTCCAATTTTAGCAAAATCAGTAGTTCCAATTCCTATCAATAAATGCGAAAGCCGAATCTTATACTGGTTACTCGGCATGCATTTCCTTAGACAATATTAACTATTTTTAGTTTCGAATGTGCTTTCTAGAAGCAGACACATTACACAAAATATGCTAAAGATTTACAATCTAACAATCATTCAATCCATCTAGCAACACCCTGAAGCAAGACCCACAAAGTAATAGTCATAATAATACTCATAATTCATACATGACATTTACTGGCAACTTATTTTCTTCTAATTTGGAGCACACGAATCCAATCAAAGGAATTAGAATTTTTGGAGATTGCTAATATGGTTGTTGCCATATGGGTACATACCTGAAAGTAATCGAATTTCTTTTGCCTGTATGTGCTTTTTCATGTATGCATATAATAAACTTCTGTAGGCAGCATATGTAAAACCCTTTCGTTTTTGTGCCTTAAGCTTTTTAGAATAATTCGTCAGCTTACTCGAACTTAACACTGTTATGCTTCTGATTGTTGGTCTCCCTTGTAATTCATTACAATCCACTAATTTCACCAATTAAATTCACGGACTATTTCAAGTCAATGATCTTAAAATGGATAAAGAAAACTGATAAATCATATATTCATGAAATAAACCTTTAACATTAATTACCAACTCCATACTAGCACATTGCTGATCAATTGCAGTGCACAGAAGAGTGACTACACTAATCAATCATCCAAATAACTTTAAACAGATATAATGTTCCTTCTCTCACTTCATCAAGGAAAAGGAATTCGTATATATCAACAAAATTGAAAAAAAAAAACCTTAACCCAAATATCAATTAGCCAAAACTAGAAACATATAGCTATGTAAGAATATCTATATTTTTCGTTGTCATTTTTTTTTGTTTACATTGTCATTCATAATTTGTTTCCATTTTAATACATTGCATGTACAATATGATAGTAATATTAATGGAATATTCAACACAAGGAAATGACAAGGTTCAAGGAAAAGGTATCGAAAAATATGAGAAATGAACGTGGGAAGAGAGCAATGAGCTACTAAAACTCATGGTAGATGCTTCCACTCATGATTGGCATGATAGTAATTGTTTGTTGAGCAAGATAACCATAGAAAAACATATACCACCCCTTCTTAACCAAAAGCATGGGATTGAAAAGATTTATGCCAAATATAGAAGTCGTGTGAAATGGTTTAAAAAACAGTACAACAAGTATTCTAAACTTATGTGCTATAACTCTGGGTTTGGATGAGATCATGTGACGAAGAAATTCACTGTTAGTGATGAAGTATGGAACGATTAGTTTATGGTGAGCTTATCTTATTACTTTATTAAAAATATATATAATTTAAGCTATTGGTTAGTTATGTGTATGTTTCATACGTTGGCACTTAAAATTAATTTTTTTAATAGTCTCATCCAAAAGATAAAAGTTGCTGCACGAACACTTTTGCGGACTATGAAGATTTGAGAATTGCAATTAGAAGTGGAACAGTTGTTGGGACACACTCAATTGCACTATAAATTATTTTTTTCTTTATTAGTCTCATCCTGAAGATAAAAGTTATCGCACGGACACTTTTGCAGACTATGAAGATTTGAAAATTGCAGTTTGAAGTGTAACAGCTGTTGGGACACACTCAATTGCACTAGGGGATGATACTGATGCAAGAACATTTTATACAGAAGAAAGAAGAGTTAGTAATAGTTTAATTAGTGACTCCATGTATGATCCTAATACTGAAGCATTTATACCAACTGATAAACAAGATCATATAAGTCCAGAGGTTCCCCCATCAAATCGAAAACGAACTAGAATAGAGTTTGAACCAAATTCTAGTTCATATGATCCCAAAAGTACTCAATCAAATGTTATAGACAAACTTGCTTGTACAGTTGACAAGATCACTCAAGCTATTGAATCAATTGACACTAGACAACATAATTGTTGGGATATTATCAAGGAGATCCCAAATTTGGATGATGATGATCGTTTCAAGACCCTTGATTTGCTCAATACTAAAGCAAAGAAGTCTGAGTTCTTGAGTATGACATCAAAAGAATGTTCTAAGTAAATAATATTTAAATTAAAATGAGGCATTTTTTGGACACGATCAGTAGTAAATTTTAATATTTTGGATTGTTAATTTGCTATTTATGGATTTTGTAATGATGATTATAGTATTGAATTCTACATTTCTAAAATTAAGCAATATCATTAGAGAAAAAACAACCTTACGGGATACTAGATATATTTGTATTGAAAAAAATGCTTGCAACAATCATACTCATTGTTGGTCACAATACTCGATATTGCTTGATCGCATTTCACTACTAGTTGAAATTTCAACAAGATTTTAGAAACATTAAACAAATTTGCAATAGATATGATGGTCAAACCCGGATCCGTCGTGCTGGAAAAAATAAGGAAAATTACAAGATTTTACCCTTACTTTAAAGTAAGCGATGAAATAATATTAATTATAATTTTTGTTTTTGTTATCATTATTTGTTTGTATTATTTTATTATTTTAAGATTGTATTGGTGATATCGATGGTACCCATATTCCAGCAATGGTAATTGGACGTGATACAAGCAGTTATAGAAATCGTCATAGAACAATTTCGCAGAATTTTTTGGCCGCTTGTAACTTTGATTTGGAATTTATACACGTGCTTAGTGGTTGTGAGGGATCATGACATGATTCTAAGGTGTTGAGTGATGCTTTAACAAAGAAAAAATGGACTTAAAGTGCCACTAGTTATGACTTTATTATTTCATTTCTGATTATTTGTTAATCCATTTTATGTGACTTGAAAAAAAAATTAGAATTTTTTATTGACATTAGAAATATGATTTATTGCTTTGCATTTTCAATTATATAAGTTATGAATGATTTGGACAAATAAAAAGTTGTTTAAAATATTACATTATATATGCTTAATGTTTTATTTTAAAGTATGAAAGTTTTTAAAAGTCTCTGACGAAAGACGCGGAAGTTCATGGAAGATTCTTACCAAATTTATAGAAATAACTTAAAAGTCCACAAATTTGAAAAAAAAAAAAAAATTTATTGACATTAGAAATATGATTTATTGCTTTGCATTTTCAATTATATAAGTTATGAATAATTTGGACAAATAAAAAGTTGTTTAAACTATTACATTATATATGCTTAATGTTTTATTTTAAAGTATGAAGGTTTTTAAAAGTCTCTGATGAAAGACGCAGAAGTTCATGGAAGATTCTTACCAAATTTATAGAAATAACTTAAAAGTCCACAAATAAACAAAGTCAACTCACTTAAAAAAAGTCTAAAAATTTTTAAAAATCTCAATTGAATACGACGTAGTGTGGCGTGATTATCTATATATTAGGTGCAAGTAACGTGCAATGCACGTTTGCCTAGTTTATATTTAATAGTTTTATTTAAAAATTAATTTATTATTAATAAAGATGTAATTTTTTTTGTTAATTAAATAATTAATGATATAATGTTTATGTAATTGATAAATAATTAGATGTGTGATTTTGATGTTGTGATGTAAGTTGGTGAGATCGAAGAAAATAAGCAAAAGTTGACAAATTTGGAGAAATAGCTAAATNGTTGACAAATTTGGAGAAATGGCTAAATTGTAAAGGATCCAAAGTTTGGGGACTAAAATGTAAATACTTAAAAGTTGTGTCGAACCTCACGATGAAGATTTGAGAGTGCTCGGAGTCAATTGGATAAAGGAAGACGTCAATGGAATCAAATTTAGTCATATTGAGATCTATTTTTGTCATAGAAAGTGATCGAATTGGATATTGATGTCTGAATCAAAGTTGTAGTCAGATGAGTTAGTTTTCCAACGCATTTTGAATCGCCTCAATCGGATATCAGATTACAAAGTTATGATAAAAACACTGAAAGAAGGTGCAGCTGCCTGTTTAAAATAAGAAATTTCATTACATAGTCCTTCACAACCACTAATTTCGTTAATTTTTCCGTTAAAAATAAAAAATTTCATTACAAATTCACTTTTAATATATAGAAGATATGTTTGTGACAATGAGTCCATACCGCGTGGACTCCGACTTATCACACTTTTTACTCAACTAGTGCTTTCGTCACCCAACAGACGCGGTTAAGTAAACCCAGTCCTCCCACGACCGTCGCTTTCCTCTTTACTTCTTCCATCTTGCAGTCTAGCTTGTCAATAATTGTTGAGTCACAAATCTCTCTATATACGTCAACAGTTGCTAATCTTCATCATCAGTCCATTCCTCCAACCGCTGATTCTGGAAACTAATTTTTGGGTACATTTATACAATTACATTGTTTTGGGATCAGAATTTCAAGTAGCTTTTGCTGTGAAACTACTACTAACTATTGATTTTTAATCTTTTAGTTTCTATTGATTCTTCTGGGGAAGAGAATTGTGTTCAATTAGAACCCATTCTGATCGAATCAAAATGTTTACTCGTATTTTTGGCAAATCTAAACAAGAGACTAATGCTCTCACCACTCTGGACAAATTAAATGAGGTATCGTTCGTATATCATCTTATTACTTTCTATAGCATGCTCATATATCTGTGTTTATCAACATTTGCACGTATTGATACGCATTTTTCTTCAATTTTTTATTTCAGTCCAAACATTGATATGGTTGCTGATTATTGTGAGAGTTAATATGCTGTCCGTTAAAAAAAAAATAGTAAATTCACTAGTTATTAGTTGGGTTTGTTAATACAATCACATCGGATGTATAGAACTCACTTTTAAATCCAGCTTGTAAGGGAAAGTGCTCAAGTGGTTCTAAACACACAAGCCTTGGCGATGTGAGAAGTAATTAGGGTCATTACAATCTGTCCCCTTTTCAAATTTCACGTCCGGAAGCCCATATTCCTAACTGAGCGACTCCATGGAACAAGTTAGCCTTCTCTAAGTCGTCCCATCCACAAATAGGGCCATTCCTAGAGTGGTGTTTACTCTGAGACCAATTATTGCGAACAAGTAGAACTCACCAGCTGCTTCTAAGTAGAGGGTGCCAAAGTTGTACTATCACACAAGCCGAACTTTAACAATATGTTATGCAATTAAGGTCATTATATTTGAATATGCAAGTTGTTTTTCACACTATAATGTATGAGGTGGTGGAGCTGGGTAAATGTTCAACATGGTATTACATTATCATTTGAGATGAAGATGATTTTATTAGAAACAATCTTACATGATGACGGAGCTGACAATTTTGCTCGGGAAATTGAATCTGTTGAAAGCTGTCTTGTACCTAGTACCCTAGTTGGATGTAAAAAGTGGCTGGAATGTGCTGTAGTTGATTGATTTGGTTGCCAAATAAGTTTTCATTTCTATTCATGGTGTATGTTAAGTGTAATTTTAACAAACATCTTTTAGAGACATATATACTTGCGTCCGTCACCAGAATTTGTTGAATAGAACTCTCTGGATTAAGGAGACTTCCCTTTTAACCCACAATGTCTCGTAGAGTGATCGGACAAAATATACCATTCTTCTTATGAGAGAGGCTATTTACTTGTTCCTGAGCATGGAATTGCATCCTCCAGGCCCTTTATGTAGATCACTTGTCTTGAAAAATCAGAAGTAAAAATTATCTAAATGACTTCGCAAAATTACATTTAGGATTTTGATCCTTGGTTGTAATTTGCCAAAAAAGCATGAATGAGAATAACCAATGAAACAATGTTACTAAAGTTATGTGTTTCTTTAAATATGCAGTAGTGGCATTTGAGCTTTATTATGTGCTTTTTGTTTGTAAGGGTTACCCTGTTATCTCGTGTACTTTAGTCGATCTGAGTATGCATTACTATTTCTAAAGAGGAGGATTTTTCTTTAAACTGTTTATCAGCTTAAATTTAAAATTGACAAAAGATTTAGTCATCTATAGTTTCAATAAGATGTTTGATGTGCATTGTCAACCTGCACACATATGGAATAATTGACTCTTTACTGTGTGTAGACTCTTGAGATGCTCGAGAAAAAAGAAAATGTGCTTCAAAAGAAGGCTTCTGCGGAGGTTGAGAAGGCCAAGGAATTTACAAAAGCTAAGAACAAGAGGGTATAGTTCTTACTTTGAATGTTCTCCTTGTCTAAAAAGAAAATAATGATAAAAAAGGTAATAGCAGATAACATTAAATAAAATTTCATTTCTAGCATGCATTATACTATTTCAACTGAACATGAGTTATTTGTGGCGAATAATGCGGTACAATCATCAGCTTTACATTTGTAGTTCATGTCTTGGTGAATAAATACTGTACTATTACTTTTTTGTTGTAGTAATAGTTTTTAGCTCAGAGTTCAGTTCCAAAGTACAACTTGATTTTGCATATAAGTTTGGCTTATATCTGGTTTCTCTTGCTGGTCAGTTAACTTGAGTCCCTATTATTTCTTGTAAGAACTTAGAAGCCCTGATTCGTGTAACTGTTTCATTTTTATTTATTCTCTTTTTGTTTATTTCTAATTTCTTGCCGAGTGGTGAGGTGTGGTGGTTTGCCAGTCTGAATCACTTGTTTAGTGTCCACATTCATGAATTTGTCAGGCCAAACTCACGAATTTCATACGTTTGGGCTTTCCTTCAGCAGTGGATCAATTCAATGATGAAAAATTGCTGAGCTCCCACTGGTACAATATGTTGGAACCTGGTTGTACTTACCCTACCCTCCAAACTCTCCATCCTGGATTAAAGCAATTAATTACTTTCTAAAAGTATCATTACTTAATTCTTGTCCGTTAATCGTGGTCAAAAAAATGAAAATGATGTAAAATGTAAATTGACTTCACATAAAACTCGTCAATCAAATGGGAGAATTGAATCACTAATAAAAGGAATATATTTAGCATGAAATCATCTTACCTTTTTATGTAAAAAATAATTAAAAGTTATGAACTTATAATAAGAAATTAAGATAGAAATAAAACTATTTGGACGCTTCTGAGGTATCAGACTGTGCTTTTTGGAATTTTGCTGCTCTTGCACTCTCCTCTCTGCACTGCTCCATGTGTGGTTACCTAGTATATGAATCTGTTCATTGAATTTACTTTTGATTATTTTTTTAAGTCTGAGCTGTGACAACAGTTAAGTGGTACATCTACACCAACTCGTCACCATTGGTCCTGATTGAGTTTCCATATATAGCATTGAGGATCAGCTTTGGGATGATGAATTTTCTGTATGCTATATAACTTATGTGGTTCTCACGTAGTTTATGGCTTCTATGCTATTTTTGTGGCTAAATATAACTGACACCAAAAGAAGGTGAGGCAATAATAATTTTTGTCAATAGCACAATGAAACATTCTTTCCATGTAGTTGTTTGCACTAGCCTTATTCTACCTTATTGTTAGTTGTGGTTCTATCTATCCCTTTTCAAGCTTGCCTACTTATGTGGAAACAATATTATTATGCAGCGGCTATACAGTGTTTGAAGCGGAAAAGACTATATGAACAACAAATTGAGCAGCTTGGCAATTTCCAACTACGAATCCACGATCAGGTTGACTTGACATTTTATATTTGAATGTTTTGCACATTGCCTTTCTTAGATGACAACCTTTTGAGTAATGAGTACAATGTCAAATGCCTTATTGCAGATGATACTGTTAGAAGGTGCAAAAGCTACAACTGAAACTGTGGATGCTTTGAGAACTGGAGCAGCAGCAATGAAAGCAATGCAGAAGGCAACGTATGTAGTTGCTTTAAACTATGTCAAATATCTGCAACTTTTAAAACTCCATTCTACCACTTGTTTCAATGTTGGTTTTTGCAATCATTATGCATTGTAGAAAATGCACATTAGTAGAATCTTCTGCAGTGGGGCATAGTTATCTGCGTGACTGCAGGATGATAGGCATGTGTGAGATATAATTCATTAAGGCCATTTCCTCCTATCTTAGCTTATACATATATATTTTGACCTAAAGCTCAAGTGGCATCTTCTACACAGGAATATTGATGATGTGGACAAAACAATGGACGAGATAAATGAACAAACAGAGAACATGAAGCAGATACAGGAAGCATTGGCTACTCCCATTGGCGCAGCAGCTGACTTTGATGAGGTTCTTGCCTATTTTCAATCTTCTGCCATTTCTGAAGCTCTACCAATCTGTATTGTGATATTCAGTATTGATTATAATGTTGTGTAAAATGCAAGAATTTATGCTCTTCAGCTAAAATCTGGGCGTTTTTTGTTATTGCAGGATGAATTGGAGGCCGAGCTTGAAGAATTGGAAGGTGCAGAATTGGAAGAACAGCTTCTTCAGCCAGCCATTGCAGCCCCTGCAGCTCCGGTGCAGGTACCAGCAGGCAGAGTACCTGGTAGCCCTAAACGCACCAAGGAGGAAGAAGAACTTGCTGCTTTGCAAGAAGAAATGGCTCTTTAACCAAGTCCCTTTCTTTTGTTTAACAGTTAACTAGGTCTACCATTTGTCAATGTTGAATTGAGGATACCAGTGGATATATTAGCCTAGTAGCTGATGAGTGTAAGGTGGCAGATCGGGAATTGGTTGGAACTGCTAATTCCAATTATATACCATGTACATCTGATAATTTTCTGAGGCCAATTGAAGTATTTCCAGTGAAATAGCGTGTGTTAACTCATATTATTGTTGTATTACTTATTTTCTGAGGCCAATTTGCTCAATATCCAGCTGTCATTGGATAGTTCAATAAGTTTCATAGAATTCAATTTCATTAGGTACAAAGATAGGATAACAAATTTGTTTCTTAGATTAGATTTCAATTTCCAAATGTTGGGACTGGATAACAGAACAGATCTGTTTCCTAGTTTAAATGCTCACTGAAATGTTACAGAAAATACAAAATATCTCTCTCTTTATGTTGAAAAACTACTTATACCTGGGGGCGAGTAGGCAAACTTTAACTTTACTAATACCTTTAAAGCTCTTTATGTTTTTTAAACTGTCTCAAGTGACCATCCCTTCATTTCCTTGCGATGTCACTCGGCATGTGACCTCTTTATTTATCACCTATAGCCATACAATTATCGTCTAACAGTTGAGTAGGTTGTTCTCGGTTTTGCTGGCTTCAATAACGTCTTTTGTACTCAAGAAACTGGGTTGATTGGTTGAAGACAGAAGCCTTGCCCACATTCTATCCGTTATCACGACCTTGTGCTGTTTCTCAATAATTCTCTGCATGCAATATCAGAATTTCTGTATCAGGAACATAACTCAAAAAATCATTATGAAAACTCGGACTCAAGGTGGAAGGGAACACATTGATGAAAATTTTAAGCATGACAATATGATGAACTAAGTACAAATACTCGAAACGCAGAACAAAAAATATCAGCATAGATATTAAAGTATGAACCAGCCTGCATATGGTCACTGCACTGTACCGGTTTGAGTTTTGATTTAGGAAAGGAAGAACTTGTCCCCACCCCCACAATATTGCCCGTTATAGAGTATCAATTACTTAAATCATACATGATTCAATAGTAGTACAAGGTTTTCATGTGGCCAATTAACTCACATGGAAGGGAATGTAAGCATGTCTTCCATTGACAGGTCCTACTGTGAAGCCTGTATAACCCGCCATTGCTCCATGAACGGCACTTTGAGCAACAAGAGTACAGTACACATTGTCAGATGCATTACTGGGAACCGCTCGAATCATGTACATGAGATCTGTGATGAGGCAAACATTTAGTTGGAATAGGCTTTTCCAATTTCATTTAGCAGAGGAATATCTTAATACTGACCTATATATTTGAGATTGATTGCCATCTTACTCCGTTTAGAAAAATGATCCTGAAAGTCAAAATGCATAAATATAAGCACTTCCCAAGTTGTATATGGAACGCATAGGAGCAATGCATGGTATAGAAACCCGAGAAGTAAAGAGAAAAATAGAAGAACAAAGTGTGATAACCACCTTAATCCTTTGCGATATCCACTGCCCAACATCTTGCAAAAGCTTGTTTCCAGAAGCATCTTGCTGATCTGTAGTGTGCAAACTCTCAGAAAGTAGCTCCTGACCTGCACCTTCGGCTATGACAATAACCATGTGTCCATTTTCTTTGAGTCGTTTCTCTATATATTCGAATAGTCCACCAGGTCCTTCAAGATAAAATGGTGACTCTGGAATAAGGCAGCAATCGACATCTCGGCTGGCAAGTGTAGCATACATGGCAATGTATCCTGCAAACCATGTATAACAATAAAATGTAAAAAACCACGAGGTTGAAACAGAAAATGATACATACAGCAAAAATAAACTTGGCGGTCTTGTGCATAGATTGCATGGATTTCACAAACACTAGCAAAGGAAATACATCAATCTCTATCAAACACACTTGTTTTAAACCATTCAAGCTTATTATACTTATTAGATGAATGAATTCACAATTGATAAAATTAACACATCAAAAGGTAGGCTTTTGCATTGACCATTTCTTGACATATTCATTTAGATGATAAATACGAACTATTGTCTATATTAGCATGAAGCTTACCACTATAACGTCCCATTAACTTCACCAGACCAATACCATTCTCAATACTTGTAGCTTCAACATGTGCTGCATTAATAGCACGTTGGGCTTCTTCAACAGCAGTGTCAAAACCAAAGGATTTGTCAATAACCTGCAATAGGAGACAGTAAGACATTTAACATTTTCATTGTTATCTAGTTTTGGGGAATAGTAACATAAGAAATATCTGATTCAAATGTAGCTAGCCGTTGTACTCTACAAAAAAGGTACCGGAATGTCATTATCTATTGTTTTGGGGATTCCGGCAACTGCAACATTGAGACCGCGTCTTCTAATTTCCTAGTAGGATAGACAAGAAAATAGTTGAAATATGATTATTAACACTAGCACAAATGATATCAGTAGAAACACGATATAGCAATAAGATCGAGAACTTAAGAGGATGAAAAACTGATTGATTTATGGGCTACTATCAAATTACTAAAATTGGTAAAGATGGACACTAATTGCAGCAGGCAAAATACCTCAAAAATTACTGCAGCTCCTTTTTGTGTCCCGTCTCCTCCTATTATGTAAACCTAAACTCAGAAAGGCAATGGTAACTATTAGAATAGACGAGGCTATGCTCAGATTGCATTTGAAGAATGATTCATACTTGTTTTATATACCTGATTAATTCCGCGGTCCTGAATGCTGTCAACGATCTTTTTGGTGTCATGACCACCTCGAGATGTCCCCAATATTGTTCCACCACGTTTGTGAATATCATTCACAAATTTTGGCGTCAAAGAGATGGTGTTTTTGGAGTAAAAACCTCGGTATCCTCCCTACAAAAACACCAGTCCCGTTAGTTGATAACCCCGCCAAAGAAAAAACCATACATTTTTGCTGAACTTCAAGTAAAAAGAAACATCTATGACTGACACACTGCACATAATTTAGACAAACAAGAGTGAAGATTATAAGTTAAGATCTAATATTATCTCTTTCAACTGAACTTATGGATTTTGCTATGATTTCTAGATTCTTATCAAACACAAGTGATAATTAATTCATGAAGACTATGTTTATTTCTTTTACTATTATCATCGTTACAATCATTATTATATTGTTTGTACCTTCTTTTCTCCTTTGGGGGGCCAGCAGGGTTGTTTATAGAGAAAATACATTTACAAGAAACTGTAGTAACCCAAACACTTTAGAACTACATCACTAATGCATATTGCAGCAGGGAAATTTTAATTTCACACAAAGCTGCTGTTCAAAAAAAAAACAATTTTTAAAGATTATTTGTGAAAATTCGAGCAGCAATTCTCTTATCTGAAAATGAATATAATTCTGCAGATACTTACAACTATTCCTAGAACTCCCTTCACATCATACATATGATGCAGGCCGCATACAATTTCCCGGATAACTGTGTTAAGGCCAGGGCATAAGCCTCCACACGTGACAATGCAGGCACGAACTTCATCAGACTTGAAGTAAACCTGAAAATTTCCCACGAGTTCATTTTAGTTTGAAGTACAAAAAGATTCATTTCAAACTTTGAAGTCCAGGAGTTTATAAACTTACTCTTTGGCGAGGACCTGCACGTCGAAAATGTACCCCTCTTGGACTATTCTTGTGAACAACAATCTAAAAAAAAATAATGTTAATATCAGAAACATGTCAATAACTATCTTTTCCATAAATTGATAATTCCTGATTTCCTCTCTGGAATGTTTCTTTCAACAAAAAGAAGAAATTTATCTTTTGTAGAAAACTTACCTTTTGGGCGACTGTATCATCATTATCCACAAAATACTGCCTGTGCACAGGTAAATTAAGACTAAATTAAAACGACGCAATTTCCAAAATTTTAAAGAAACTATCAGAAGAAAAGCAATACAAAAACTCACTTGACAACTGAATATGCAGGATTATACTGCAATGGATTGGTATAAGTCTGTCACGAGGAAAGAATGAGAATAAGAAATCACTAGCAACCAAACAAGTATAAAAAGACCTGCACTCTGTTCTCTTTCTAACTCCAAGAGTCTGAAAAGGATTCTGAAAATTTCTAGAAAACGAAATTTCAAGTAATTAATGCTGTATTAAACTGTAATATCTTTGTCATCTATATAAAAATTTTACTACCAAACATAGTTTTCTTCAAGTTTCTAACCTTATTTTCCCACGCAAAAGAAGTAAAAGTCAAAAGAATCAAACGCCCAATTCACAACAGAATCAAAGATGTGATCATAAGCAAGAAATTATACATACAGGAAGATGAGGAATGTAATCAGACAAGTGTGGCACGTCCTCCAGAATGTAACCAAAATCTCCACCAACGATTTTAGGCTGCAATTTGTTGAGTCCCTCCATTAACACAAACCCATTTCTTGGATTCAATCCAACTTTTTCCTTGGTAATAATTTTATCAGCAAAGCCATTAGAGACAGAGTTAGACATCGTAGGATCCATTGAAATGAAACCAGCTTCTGATCAACAAGTATGTGTGTATATACTATATTTGTCAAGAGATTAAAACGCTGAACCTTCCTTGATCATCAACTTTTTTCTAAAATGGTAGCCAATAAATTTGAATAAATTTTTCTCTTCTTTTTTGGCCTTAATTATATATATATATATAGACCGTGATTCACTGTATATGTATGAAGGGGCATCGTTTCTAAGGGTGGAAAGAAATTAACATGTGGGTGGGAAACATAGATAGATAGGAGTTCACAGAAAGTTGGAGCTTTCCACTCAAACTCCGACAGATCAAGCAAGCAAGCAAACAAAGTTGGTAAAATTTGACTTCAAATTATCAAATCCAAGTCGGTTAAGTTTTGGAACCTTTCGTGTTCAAGGTGTATAGTTTTGAAGCGGTAAATTTTATTCCATGAAGTATATTTTCTTTTTAGATTCTATTCCCTAATT